ACAGAATAAAATATTGGCTGTTGGACTCATCTCTACAAGCATCAAATCAATATAATTTTTCTAAATTTGATTTATATATGCTTCATGGAATATCGATCTAAGAGTGTATTGATAGAATATTGATTTGAAATCATCAATTATAAGTTGGGATCAAATAGAAAATCGTCAATAACACTATAGTGACTTTTAATTTTATTCGAACACATTATTGTGAAAGATTACAAAAATCCCTGGAGTTTAGTCAAGGAACGTGACAAGTCATATATACATGTTTCAAATAATAAAGTGTCGTTGCTTGGTCAAGTCCACGAGATGGAAATTTCTTGGAAGTGATCACTCGTAATCAAACAGCTAAACACAATTATATTTAATTCATAATTAGGAGTAAACATTATTAAGCACATAAAGAATGAATGGAAGTCAAATATTTTTATTGTTCATTCAAACCAAGTTTTGAAAGAATTTTTCTGGAACTACTCATGACGATGGATCCTGGCTTAATGTCTTTATTTCAAAAGGAGTTAGTATTGTATATATTTTGAATATTCACAAATCACAACCAAATTATGAGAACCGCGTGGGCCTTCAAGAATAACAGAATTTCAAGGAAACATGATACAAGGTATAACTCATACTAAACAGTTAATTAAGCAAATCATAAAATATTAATTTGATTTTATTTTAGATAAATTATTTGTTTTCCTTATTTAATAATTAAGAAAAACTTCAAAGTAGTGTCGTAAATTTTAGGGTGTACTAGAGTATTCATGTTGAAACTTAATGGATTAAAACGGAAAATTATTAGGACAAATGAACATGACATGTCAATTTTCGTGTCGAAAATGAGGATTCCAATAGCAAAATTTTAAAAATTAATTATTATATGAATTTTCATTTAAATAATCAATTTTTAATTTGAATTGTTTTTTCAAACAATAGTTCCAATTGAAAAAAATGGAAAGGGTTAAACTTCCTATGGACTATTTTAACTTATTTTCCAATGAGCTTTTAAATTTTTTGAACATCTATTGGGATATTGAATGTCACACCTTACAGTTTACTGGATTTTTGTACTTATCCTTACTATTACGTTCATTTTCAAATGCAAATATTCAATGGATAATTAAAAAATAATATTAACCAACTAAATAAATAAAAATAACGGGCGTGGCGTAATTTATGGATAGCCAAAATTGACGTACACCACAAAGCAAATGAGTTTCCCTATATATTTACATTTTATTATCAGTTGAATTTCCATCTAATGGTAGGAAAATGTACTTTTCAATCTTTTCTCAACTTAATATAAAAACGACAAAATAAAAAATTGGGAATTGTCCCTTCAATTTAGTTCGATAAAACTGCAGAATACTAGAAACAAAATTATAAATATTGATGTAAAATTAGCGGATATTTGATAAAAAAAAATATAATTAATTGGCTTTAATAGCTCAAAATGTCAATTCTTAAAAGGTTCAAAACAAAAGCGTCTTTAAGCAGAGAAGATTAAAAAATTACATGACAATATAACATTATGAATTGCTATTTACTAAATTACAATTAACTAATACAATCGAATTAGTTAATTCAATTCGCTATCGACTATCTATACGATAATACAATAAAACTTTCTACTATGAATGAATAGCCAAACTGAGCCGTATATTATTATTATTATTATTATTATAGAATGAATTAATCAAAATGACCCTTGTATTTATTATTTATTCCTCAAACACTAAAAGATAAATTTTTCTATGTTAGCTTAGGCCAACCAATTTATTCACATTATATCATTTGTGTTATTTTTTCTTTTTTTTTGTCGGTGGCCCAAAAAAAAACAGAAAGAAAATGAATATACTTTAAGATATGAAAGAAGGTAGGGTGTGAATTTATCCTTTACGCATAGATTGCGGGGTGAAAACGCATAATTCTTTCCTTAATAAAAATTATTAGTATACAAATAGGCGATCTTGTCATGTCATTTGACGAAACCAAATTTGCTAACTTATTCCAAATTGAAAATTCAATAAGTATGACAGACTAGTGACATCCGCCACCAACTGATACCCACCAAATTATTAGAAGATAAGAAAGCTTAATAAAAAATGAAATTCCACCCTACAATTTTCCTCAATTTTCGTGTTNTTTTTTGCCCTTATTAAAAAAAAAAAAAAACAATTACGTATGCGATAATCTATGATATGCTTTCATATCAAGATTAGTGTGAAACGAAGAAGCCTATAGAGATCAGTTATAACTTAGTATAAGATAAATAAAGTAACAGTGTTAATGTAAAAGTAAAATAATTATGGCCTAATGCATTATTTACAGTATGATTAGTCAAAAAAAGAAGTCTCCTGATGGTCCACTCCATGGACAGTTGTGTGAATTCAACAGACTTCTTGGAGCATCCAAATATTAAAAATTTGGTGGGTTTTACGAGATATTAAGAGGGTGATTGGATATGAATTCAGCTAATAAAAAATTGATTTTTTTTAATTATAATCAAGTTTAAAAAAATGTGGTATGGTTAGTTGTTGGTGGATATATTAAAATAATATTTAAAATAAGATAATTAAAGTTGATTTGATGTAAAGGTAGGAGAAAATGATTGGAAGTGATGGTTAGCTAAAATTATGTGAGTGGATGAATAGTGAATTAGCGTTGACGTGATATGTAAGAATGATTAGTTGATATTATTTAATTATATTGATAATATTAGAGATAATAGAGTTGATTCCAAATCAAAGAAAAATAAATCTTAGAAAAAAAAAAAACAATTTTTTACAGCATGACAAGCATCCTTGGATTATAGTTGAAATCACCATGTTATAGATTTCCTCTTTCGCTCATTATTTATAAATGTAAATATCTCACTCCAGAGAGTTTAATGTGTGATACAAATATTAACATCAATGGTAATTTTTTTGTTCAAAAATAGTATTTTCTATGATATAAATTTAATGTAGGCAGATTTTATGTTCTTTTTATTTTTCCATCTGAGAATCTATGCTGTATTTTCAATTCACATTGGAACGTTTTTTCTACAATGTTGACTGCATAAAAAAGACTAATAAGTCTAAGAATTTAAAATCTACATGAGTATATTGGATTATGGTAAACAATTTTTCTACTGATTTCAATTGCATTTGTTTGCTGGCCAGTTGAATAAAATTAATTTTATATGATAAAACATTTTCAACTTCTTTATAATTCTAATTAAATTTTTAGTTATTTCAATTTTCAAAACATGGATGCTCTTGGCATTGGAATCCTATTCTATAGTCTCTATAAAAATACGACCAAAACTTAACATATCCCCTGATACCCTCACGTTTTTAAAATTATTTATTTTGGGAAAATATTTATTTAAAGTTAGGAGGTGATTTCTTCACACACTCAGAGAATACACTTTTTAAAGGCTTAATCAAACCTCACGAAGTGCACCCCACTAACAACCACTTGGAATTAAATTTCTCCAAACTCTGAAAAATCTGTGCCCCTATAGTAGTATTAAGTCACAAAATCTGCATGTGTACGCTCTTTTCCTCAACACCCTTCTTTATTACATCACAAGAATAGTGCGAGATAAATAAAGGGGAAAAAATATTTTTTTTTAAAGGAAGTGATATTGGAAAGTGATTCTAGCTAGGCCCCCACCTCAACATTTTTCATTTTAATTTGATTTAAATTACGAACTTATACAAATTTGTAGGAGAATATTGAGAACAATGTGTCAAACAAATTTCAAATTCTTGATACTTGAGTCATATCGAACTGAGTCAAGCTCAGTTAATCAGAAACGACAAAAAACTCTAGTTCGACTTGCTAACAAGTCTTAAACTAAGTCGAATTATGCTAAAGTGCATATAATTACATAAAAATCTCTATTTTATAAGCCTAAAGAGTCTTACGTCAACCAAATTAACCTTAATCAAGTTCGAGTTCAATTTATTTATTAGACGAGTTGAACTGTGTTTGAGCCTCAATTATCAAAGTCTCGTATAGTTTAATACCTTCATTGAAAACTTGAAAATGCAAATATAGGTAAACATTTACACTAGTAACTATTTATCAAGATAGTAAATGACAATTTACTCATTGAATTTTATGTTTCAACTTTATGTTGTTGTTCTCTCTAGTTTGTACTAGTCAATGAAAATAGAAAGAAAGTTGCATTTCACCTAGGCTCTTCTTATTTTAATTTCACCAATTTATATAACCCAACCCCGACTATTTAAAATCTCTCCATAAATCATGTCAACATAAATACACGAAAGCCAACCCCACATCTTTGTTTTCTACGATGTGCCCTCTAACCATTAGCCTACCAAAAAACCCAAAAATAATAGACAAGCATTATATATGTGTGTGCCTTAGCTCTTGCCAAACGTTAAAATTAGCACTGGTTTAGATTTATAACGCCAAAAGTCTATTCTAAAATTTCTAACTCTTCCCCATCACTCATAAAACAAAGAACAAATCAAACTTCTCTTGTTTCCAACCAATCCCTTTTCAAATATTTTTCTTTCCTCTCTTTGTTGGGAATAAGGTTGGAAGAAGGTCCTTAAGAAAAGGGGATTTTGTTATATATTTCTTTTCAATATATAGATATCCATAAATGGCTATTCAAGCTCAGATTTATTCAGGCTTTGGGTTAGGGGGTTCACAGGATTATTTGATGGACAATGCTTGTGGATTGAACAACAGTATGTGTTACACACCTCACCAGCAGAAATTGCAGCACGAACAACAGTTGATGCAGAGAGTACCACACAGCACGGACGATCAATTCTCAGCGGCATTTTCTCAAACAGTTGCCGCTCATGTTGAGAATCAACGAATCGAAATCGATATGTTCATCAATTCACAGGTATCATCATCTCTTCAAACAAAAAAAAAAATCGAAAATTATATTATGATTTTTTGTTTTAGAAATTTTCTGAACTAAGGTTTTCGATTGAAACAGAACGAGAGATTGAGAATGGCGCTGCAAGAGCAGAGGAAGCAGCAAATGTCGATGTTCGTGAAGAAGTGCGAATCGAAGGTCCAATTTCTGATCAGGCATAAGGAGGAGGAGATCGAGAAGGCGGCGAGGAGAACGGCGGAGCTCCAGGATTACCTGAAGAGGATGGAGATCGAGAGGCACGCGTGGCAGAGGGCGGCGATGGACGGCGAAGCGGCGGCGGCGTCTCTGAGCAGCGCGATCGAGCGGCTGCGGGAGGCCGCCGCCGCCGCCGACGGCGGGGGCGGCGGAGATGCTGCCGGAGACGCCGAGTCTTGCTGCTGTGTGGGGGATGACGATAAAATGGCGAGAAACGAGAATTTGGAGGGGAATTTGAGGAAGATGATTTGTAAAAGGTGCCATGTGAGGAAATCGTGTGTGATTATGCTGCCGTGCAGGCACCTGTGTGCATGCAGGGAGTGTGAAGGGTTTCTGGATTCATGTCCCGTTTGTAATGTGGTGAAAAGAGCCAGTATAGAGGCTTTGATTTAAATTATTAATTTATTTTTTTTTAAAAAAATATTTTTCTTCTGNAGAGGCCATTTGATGTGATGATTCTAAAAAAATTGTGTGTGTGTGTGTGTGTGTGTGTGTTAGTTTCATTTATTTTCAAGCATTAGAATTAGATTTTGGTTGATGAACATTTTGATGGTGGAGAAGGTCGGCATGAATTTGGTACTCTTAACCCTTTTCTAATTTGTTGAGAAATTGAATGACAATACCTACATATTATGAGTGCAAAGCAACAGCTAACAATTCGAAAGAGACAAAATTATCCAAGGCTATTTCATGAGTTTTGATGGTAAAAGAGTAGTGATGTAATCGAGCAGAACGAGATGAGTTTGGGCGTTTTGGAGCATTTTTTACCAACTGTGAAGATTGTTTTCATGTTCTCTTGCCTACGATTCCCTCAAATTTTGTATTTTGTATTTGAGCTCGTTTGTTCAATTGTTATCAAAATTCGTATATGAATAGTTTAATAAACAAATTTATTTAAATTATTTGGTCATATCAAGATCGGCTCGTTCAAAGACATTCGGACTTTCACTAACAAACTTGTGTTCATTCGTTTAGCAAATGAGCCTAATATGTTGTTCGAATTTTACCCGAGATATAAATGAACAAGCTTTTATCGTATATGAACGATTTCAAACAAACATCTTTGAAACCTTTGGATTCGTTTACGACCTTCAACGTGGGCAATCTATAGGGCTGTAAACGAGTCGAGGCGAGTCGAGCTTGAGTTCAGGCTCAGGATGAGCTCGAGCTCAAGCCCTTAACAAGCTAAAAATTGAGCTCAAGCTTGAGTTCGGCCCGTTTATCAATATTAACAAGCTGAATTATAGAAAAACATATAAAAGTTCTATTTTCGAGCCTTATCTAGTAGATCCAAGTCCGACTCGTTGACAAAACGAACTTTAAGCGAATCAAACTCACAAGCGACTCGCTTTGTTTAAGAGCTCCAACTCTAGCTATCCATAATAATCATATACCGCGAATTTGGGTTGTTTTTCCTATTATAAGATGCAACTGACATAAATTTACTACATTCATACTATTGTGTCATAGTTAAATTGCGTGCTATAGGGGAAAGTTGAAACCGAAAGTGGCTAAATTAATTAAGCATTTGTCAACTATAGGTGGTGATTGAATTATATTCCAACCCATAGGATTTATCAACTGCATAAATGTAGGAAAACGATTAGGATCTATTTTACAAAATTTTAGGCTTTCATTGATTTTACTTTTTAACTTATAGTCTGTAGATATCTTTTTTTTTTTTCACTTTTTTCTNTTGATATTATTCTCTTTTCATTTAGGTGTGCGAATAATTTCATCATCATACGAAATGATAAATGGGTTGAACGAGCAAATTCTATAGCTCCATACAAAAAGATCAAGCTTCTTTTTCTTTCAATTCTTTCATAATTCCGTGTGGAGAGTGTGTTAAACAATTAAGAGTTTAACTAAGAGTATATACGAGTTCATTTAGTTGATGCGCAGATTTGAAAATATAAACTTCTATAAAAAAATTTATAGTTTAACTTGATGGAACGTAAAAAGATTGAGATGTGAATTTATCCATAGAGAATGTATCTCATGTGTATATAATCGAAAAAGAAAATTGAACTATAAAAAGAAAATTGATGCGCATTAAGGTTTTCTGTCTTCTAATATTACAACTCGAGTTTAATTTGTTAATTCTCGAACATAATTTGTTAATATTGATTAATGAACATCTAAATTCGATAACAAGTTCAAAATTTAATTTAAATATTAAGACCTTTGTCTTTAACTCATTTACACACCTCCACGTATGAATGATAGCATTTGTTATAGAGGCAATTGTTTTGACCCTTCTTTTGCTTTTTATGTAACTTGGCCCTATTTTAGTCTCAAAGTTCCCTTAAAAAACGTAATTTGTTTTACCCTAAATAGAACAAATGTACAGTCTTCATCAGTTGCTATTTTTCTTCATCACGTCAAAAGTATTCTTATTTCACCAATAATATTTTTANCGTTTCTCTTCTTTTGATAGGAAGCTACAAAATAGGAGCATCTTTATATTATTATTACTAATATTTTTCTTTCCTTTCAAAAGAATTATTATTGTTCTTTTGCCACTTTTTGCGTTTCACGGTATTGGGAATTTTTTTTGTGCTTGATTTGATTTGATTATTCATGTCAGAGTGAATTATTTATGCAAGTTTTATTTTATTTTCTTTTTATATCTTCTATTTCTGCTGCATAGAAAAGTTTATAAAAATGGTACGTAAATGATGACATGTTACTGATGAAACAGTGCTTATGCACCCCAACTACTGCAGAAGTTCAGAAAGATTTCGTGACTTGGGCTTGTGGCAGAAAATTTAAGAGTTTAAAAGTAAATAAATAAATTCACGTTTGTTCATGTGCCTCTCTCACATTCAATGCACTCTTCTAACAATTTTATAAAATTCGGTTGTTTAAAAAAAATGGTTGATGAGTTAGAAGTTAGAACTAATATTTTGTGTGAATTTGAAACTTATATTGACGGCGATTTAATATTGTGTGAGTGAATTTTAAGTTTATGTGACTCACATATTATCCGTGAATCTTGAGCTAATATTTATTAGCTCATGATTGAAAAGCTAAATGATATATTAAAAATATTAGTTGAATACTTATAAATGAATAATGAGCTTATGCCGATAACATATGAGTGATGACAGAAAAATTTAATATATAATAAAAAGATTTGATAAATTAGATGATAATTCAACTGAAATAAAAATTTGAACAAGTTTGTCTAATTATAATAAACTTATAAGTTAGCTAGATAAACTATAAACTAATTAATAATGTCTTTTTATTTAATAGGGTGGTAGATAAGAAAAGTTGAAAAACACCATTTATAAGATGATGTGAGTTGGAATCTCATTTTCTTTCCTCATTATACTAAAATTTAATGCCTTCAAAATCAAAGGAAAAAAATATGGTTTGCGTTGCATTGGACGGATTAATTGTGCGGCCTACAAGGTGCTGTACATTGTTTTTGACGTTGACCTCAAGTATATCTATGACTATCAAGTTATCAACCTTCTTTTTTACTTTTAATAATAATATTGGGAATTTAAAATAATATATTTGTTTAATAAGTACATTTGCAAAATCCCTCTTGTTAGATTAGTCCAACATTAGTATGGACAAATGCTATGAAAACATCATAATTGAGTCTCCACCTAAATCAAGAAAATGGTAAAAGGACTACAAAAAATGGTTGTCCAATTCATTAATAGATGCCACTAGATAATGTAGGGTATTGAAGAAAGTCCATTTATTATTAAATTAAAAAAAAATGATAGGTTTGGAGTATTTTAAGGTATTTCTTATTTATGGCCGGTGATAGTCAATATAAATATTCAATTTGTTAGGCATATCTTCAGCCTAATGTAGGTGAAATATTCATGGTCGTCGTGTATCGTGAATGGAATAGTATGAAAACGTGAGATAATTGCTTAAGAGTCATTGGATGTGATTTCAGTCCAATTATATGCGGTTGGTTCACTTTACTTTTATTTTTTTTCTTGCGGTCATACTTGTTATTAATTTTTTAAATTAAAAATCAATTATTATTACATATTTATTTAAAAAATTACTATTTATTTACTGAAATCTTTATACATACTAACCCATATTTTACTATTTCTGTGTCATATCACAATTAATTACTATAATATATAAAAAATCAAATAAATGAATAAAATGGAGTTGGATGGAATGGACATGTAGCAATTGAGAAGATGGGCCTTAGTGATCCAACAAAGCCCGTTGAAATAGGGCTCCTCCTTTTAACGGACGCGAGGCCATTAATTCCATACATGTAAATCCTGGAATGGAATACTCGAATCTTCTTCAAGTTTGGACCTTGTTCAAGTAATTGGGCCTTTAGCTGTCTAATGGCAAACCGAACATTAAATGACATTAAGTAATTAGGAAATTCTCTCCTTAAGAATGGTATTATGGATCTATCTTCCAATCCTCATAGCCCATCCCATCACACAATCAAGACATATTAGTGTTGGATTAATGATTTTAGTTTTACACGATATATGAAACAAGTAGAAAATATTTAACTAGAACACAACAAGAAATAATAAATTTAGTTAAATTTTGAATTCGTATTATAATTATGACAATGAAACATGAACACGATCTACTGCCCTTGAAAATTACATTTTTATAGACTATATCATGTTACAAACATGAAGACCAATTAAGGGCTCGGTTGTTTACTAAATAATTTATTCAAAATGAGTTATTTTGGTTAATTAGAATCAAATTTAAAAAATATAGTATGGTTAGTTGTTAGTGATATTTAAAAATGTATTAAAATAATATTTAAAATAAAATAATTAAAATTGATTTGATGTATAAGTAGGAGATAAATGATTGAAAATAATTGGAAATGATAGGTAGCTAAAATTATGTGAGTGGATGAATCTATACTTATATTAAAAGGTATGTCATTTACCAGATTTAGTATAAAGAAAAGTCAACAACATTTATTGCATTACTATTTCCGTATTATACAATCTATACTTATATAAAAGGAGATTCTATTTACTACATTTACTATTCAGAAAAGTCAACTGCATTAAATGCCATTACTATTTTGGTATTATAATATTTTAATTATTTAATTGATTTATTTATTTGTTTTATTTTAAAAAGGTAAGTATAATAAAAAGAGTTTAATAATAAAAAAATCAAATACCAAATAAAAATGTACACTTTGACTTATTTGATTATATTTGGTATTTGATTATACCAAATATATTCCTATTTAGTATATACATTAAATACTTACTAAAGTATTTATTTGTTTTATTTGTCAAAGTTAAGTATAGATTTGTTTATATTATCAAATCATAAAAAAATATTAAATCAATATTGTAAAAAAAAATCATATAATTTTATAACAATTCTACTACACTATTTAACAATATTTCTTTTTTATTATATAATAAAATAATAATTAAATATTATATGGTGAACAACAATAAGTAAAACTGTTACTTTCTCTTATATCAAGGAATAAATTTATATGCTAAAATTAAATTTTTATTATTATAAATGTTTTAGTGAGATAATATATTAATTATTTTACAAGCTAGCCCTAACATGCTCATATTTAATGTTTTAAAAGATGTAGAAAAAAAACTTATAATAACTCTAGTGTTTTTTAGACTTAAACGTTGATTAAAAGAGGTAAAAATTCCTAAATTTTTAGACTTAAACGTTGATTAACACTATAGATTGAGAGTTTATATTTAGTAAAATTCCTAATTGTAATAAAAAAATTAATTTTTGTTATATTTTAGAATATCTTTAAATTCAAGTTGAACAGCACAACCAACGTATGTAGCCGCCATGTTGTGATGAACTCTCTTCCGATGCCTAGGCCACCATGCCTATTTCTCTCCAATGGGGGATTTTTTTTTAGTGAACGTATCACAGTCTATACTCCTATATTTTTTTTGGAAAGACGAATCCGGCTCGACTCTTGCATCTAGGAAAAGACTCCTGCCTTCTACTTAGGCAACCCGAATCCGCGTATACCTACTCTAGGTCGACATGAGACTTTCTCTCGTTGCTTTGAAAAGATAAACTTTCTAAATCGATATTTGTCATGGAATGGAATGGATTCAATGTTCAGAGTCGGTTAAGAGAGACCTTAAAGATTGGAATATCTCCAAGGATTTAGCGGGGCGGCAATACAAAAGTATGTAAACTATAAAAACGAGTCAAGGTCGCTAATAGAAGACTTTTCCGGCGAGTGCTACTTTGGATGATTCTGGTCAAGTCGAAGAATGGATACCCTTTCAATTATTAAGGAGGGCCCTTTATAGTCCGAGAACTCTTCGACGGGCTCAAAACAAATAGCAGATCCTAACTATTATTATTTTTTGTAATACATATTTTTGAGCATCTGATCCTGGATCTACTTCCTGATCGGCAAGTAGAGTTGTAGGTTGGGGAATCCTTCTCTTCTTAGAATATCTTTGCCTCTAGATTCCGTTCCGTCAGGGTTCTAAAACCACTTGTGTAGGTGCGGGCAAGTCGGTTGTCGCGCAGGGATCCAGGATAAGAGGGATCTTGGAGTCATTTGTANTTATAAAAAAAAGAAAAAAAAAAAACTACAATGAAAAAAGCAAGTCAGTTGTATATCGATTTGTTGAACTCCTCAAATCACATTCACAATTTGGCTACTAAGAAAGGAAACTCATTGATTAAAATATTATTTTGTCAGTAGTCTTAATGTACAAGAGACTTTAAGACTCCACTTGAATATTATAAAAACTTTTATTGAACATTGTACAATTTTATTGCGTATTATAAACTTTTATTGAATATTGCATCTTATAATATAATATTCTCTAAATAAATATATCTCGTGCTTCGCACGGGTCACGTACTATATATATCCCGTACATTTTTTTTTATTGATGTATATAATTATAAGCCTGGATAAATAGCCTTAAAATTGTGCACCCCATGCATCGCACGAGCTCTGTACTAGTAATAAATTAAAGTTGATGTGATGTGTAAAAATAATTAGTTTGTATTACTTAATTATATGAATAATATTAAAAATAGTAGGGTTGAGTTAAAACTGAGTTAGATTTTGAACATGAATTGAATGAGAATGAAATAATTTATAAACAAGCATGCCGTAAATGATGTAGTAATTTATACTAGAAGCATGTAAATTTTAACACGAGCATCAAATTTTAATAGTCTAATACAGTATGAAAGTAGGACACCTTTTCCGTGTATCAAAATCAAATTAGGAAAAAGGGCTATTATACATCACGCAATTATAAAAATTTAAATTTCAAATACTAACTAAATTCAATATCCATATTCCTTTTCCAACACAAACAATAGTACAATACTTTCACTACACAAATAGGAGAAAGTCGCACACGACTTATAAACCGCCTCACAGCCCCTCCTATAAAAACCCAACCCACCACAGTCGTATTTGTCTCACTCTGCACTTCCAATTTTTCGCAGTATCTCAGATATTTGAGCTTCCGTCCTTTTTTTTTTTTTTTNTAGGGTTTTTCCGTTTTTCTCAAAAAAAACAATGGCGTCCAGTGAATCTAGGATGATAGTGCTGAAGGCCTCCGACGGCGAGACGTTCGAGGTGGAGGAGGCGGTTGCCGTTGAGTCGCAGACGATCAAGCACATGATCGAGGACGACTGCGCCGGAAGCGTCATCCCGCTCCCCAACGTCTCGTCGGCGGTGCTGGCGAAGGTGATTGAGTACTGCAGGCGCCACGTGGCCGGGGACCCCGACGGCACACTCAAGGATTACGAAGCCGAGTTCGTGAAGGCCGACTCCGAGCAGCTCTTTCAACTGATCCTGGTATTTTTCTGAGTTTCTTTTTGTTGTTTTGGGCCTGGATTTTGTTGTTATACGGCTTTTTTATTCTGTAGGTGATGACTCTGGGTTTTTTAGACGCTGTTTTCTGTTCCGTTCGTGCTAGGTCTGTGCTTTATTTGGTCGTTCATAGGGCTTTGGGTTTTGTAATTCCGTCTCTTGCGTTCCTTTATTTGGTAGCGGCTTGTTGTAATTTGCCATGAGATTTTGTTTTAACTGGCCTAGCTTGTTTGTGCTTGCTATGAACCAATCTTTTGATCAGGCTTATGCAGTGCTATGATATACAAACTATTCTAAGAGTGTTCTGTTTCCTTTGTCGTGCTTGCAAAGCATTTAAAGTTTGTTTCGTTACCTGTGCTTGTCTTGTATCGAATATTTCGATTATCGTGAGTCTTTTGAGATTGTAGTATTAATTCTATATTCCATTCAAGGACTGTAGAAGTGATAATAGCATGGTCTGAAATGTTTGTCCAATACCATGAGTGATCTTTCTCAGTGCTTGCTTCAAAAAGCTTTTCATACAAGTAAAACATAGTAAAGGTTATTGTTATGTTTGTTTGATATTATTGCTCTCGTGTTTTCACGCTGCCAATTACTTGAACATCCCAGGGATGCTCGATATCACGTGCCAAGCTGTGGCCGACATGATCAAGAACAAGAGTCCCGAGGAAGTTCGCTCGATTTTCAACATAGCTAACGATTTGACTCCCAAAGAGGAAGAGGAAATTCGCAACGAGTACCCATGGGTCTACGAGTGACTTAAATTAATGTTTCTAGCAAAGCTATAGTAGGAAATCTGGCATTAGTTTATGATTGGATACATTTTTCTCCCTTTGTTAAATTCTGAGCTCCAAACACCTTGTTTTGTTGGCATGGCAGTCTTCTTTTTTGGGAAGTTTGTTGATGTTTGGATTGGATGATTATTTTAGTTCTGAATTTCTGTAGTCTACTGTTGATTTTTTTATGTTTTTCTTGAGTTGTTGTGGTTATGTTGTGAGTTATCTCTATTATGCTCATGGGTTTGGTTTTGAACTTTTGGGGGCTTTAGTTGCTGTAAATTTCATGGTCCTAGCATGCTGTTTAGACTGTCAAATTATGCCAATGTGTATGGTTGGTTTGCTTGCAGAGATGCAGTTTTATATGATGTTTGACTTGAGGGTGATCTAGATAGATGTAAACTATAACAATAGGAAGTGACCTGTTTTGGGCACTCAAATTAGGGCTTATAGAAGGCATGGGCTTAGCCCCTGAATTTTGAGGCCCACATATGGGCTCCTGACCCAGTCCGCATTCTGCTCCATTTCTTATGTTTTGTGGTCTCACTTGATTAAGAAACATAGGTTGTATCATCATGTAATTAGTATAGGATAATTGATCTGACGGTTACAAACTCCATCGGAACAACAGAATGGTTCCGTAACGGGACTGTATTATATCTCTCTATTATTTTCTCATAAATCATAAAAGTTTGTTAATTTACATGTAAAATTAATTTTGATTCCGATTCGTTTCTATTATTCATTCATACAAAGTTATGAAAAATTGTCAGTTTATGTTTAAAATTGAACGCATTTTAGTTAATCTGATAATTGACCTTATGCGGAGTAGAACATGATTTAAATTATAACTATTGAAACATAATTAGTTGTAATTATACAAATTATTATTGGGTGGGGGCGGCTACCAAGATTAAATATAAATCTTTTATTTTATTTTATTTTGTAATGTATGATATTTTTATCATAATTTTTACTATACTTATTTCTCTATTTCTAGCCACACATGCGAGAAGCCTAATAAAGCTTCTTAAAGTAAGCCCATTTTCAAGCATGCGTCAATTTCAAGTGGCCTAGAGCGGAATTCCTATTAGCCAATAACATATCACCACGTCACGTACTCGCGGGTGTCTCCGTCATCCAAAAAGCTCCTCCCTCGCTTTTCGCGTTGCTTCCATCGGAAATCAGCTCGTTTTCAGAATGTATTATCTTCTCAACTGAAAGCGCCCCGAGAAAGGCTTCTGAGAATCGACGAAGTCGAGTAGAACAATGGTGGAGATTGAGCCGTTGCTTGCAAACCGCGCCGCCGGCGAGGAGCCTCGGATGGAAGCAGCGCCATCGGCGAGAGAAAGAAGGCTGCTCGCGTGGCCTCGCTCGATGTTTTCCGCGGCCTCTGTGTTCTCGTAATGCTTCTACCTGTTAATGTTCATTTAAGACTGATTATTGGAATAACAGCGGCCGATTTTTTTTTATTTTTTAAATTCTGTCTATAATTGTACAAGCAGCTGCGATTCACAAAACGTTCTATCTGTTTAGTTCTGTAGGATTTTTTTATTTTTTTTTCGCGTTTTGTTTCATGAATTATTTTTAGTACTGAGTACACGTTCAATCTGGCCTATCATGACTGTAACACACTAACACTGGGTTTGCAAAGCATGAAAGGACATTCTGGAGTTGGCTGAATATGTACCTTCGTCTTATTTTCTTCAGGCTGCATTTGAAATGTTCTGTAATAATTAATTATTTGCTATGTGAAAATTATGCTATCTAGTAACTTTGTTTGGTGAGATTGCATACCTCCTACAATTTGATGTGTTATTCACGAGCTGTGCTTTTCTGATAAGCACTTAAGCAGGGTTGGTCGTTCAGACGGATTAACCTGAGCATAAACTGAAATCAGATAGTCGCGTTTCATTTCATATCGTAGGATAAAAATCAGCTATTAAGGTTAAGCTCAAGCTAGATTTTCTAAGTGAAATAGTTTCCCGCCCACTAGTATCGAGGTTAATTACGTGTTTCGGTGATTTAGGTTAATGATGATAAGGGCTGAAGATGTCAGCAAATATTCCAATTCATGTAGAAGTACTCTTCCATCGGAATCCTTGGCCTTTTGCAAACTATTGAGATATTGTGATTATGTATCTTTTCCTTCCTTTTTTTTTGTTCTTAATTTTACATAATCTTGTTTCAGCTCATGATGCTTGTAGATTATGCTGGATCAATTTTCCCAATAATTGGTCATGCCCCCTGGAATGGGGTTCACTTGGCAAACCTTGTGATGTCATTTTTCCTTTTTGTTGCTGGCGTTTCTGTGGCAAATGCATACAAGGTAACTGCAGCTGTGTAGGTGTAACCAGAATGTGTCCATCAGAACATTTATGCTATTTATGGTCAGGCTAAAAGTAGACAATAGGTTTTTCTTTTCACGGTGTTGTTATGAGTTGGGCGTTGGCGTTTGATATATAAGCATACAGTCTTATTTGCTTTGGTTCAAATTTGGTTAACCTCACTGGCTGCAAATTCGCAGAAAGTTTCTGACAGAGTTGAAGTTACGCAGAAGGCTCTCCTTAGAGCATAGAAATTATTTCTCCTTGGTGTTTGTCTTCAGGGTAGGGTTGTCCTTACATTTGTATCTTTTGATTTATGTGGTACATGAAACACGAGACCATGATAACCTGAAGAAGCCTGCTTATTTTATTTTAGCAGAAGATCTCTTGCAGACAGGGGTGGTGTAGTAATATATTGTAGCGAGGAGAATAATGGATAATGTGGCAGTCAAACTTTGATAGTAGCCCATTGCGTCCATGGAGAATAGATGTTGATTATGGGAATCTCTTAGAGTGTACTAATGACAATTTGTGTGTGACAATAGAGTCGAGGATAACACTATAGCAGTAATCATGTTTAAATTGCTTTCTGGTGATTTTTAAACTGTCTTCACTCTTGCTTGATGGTCGTGTCTTAAATTTACACCTCATTTCAGGTGGATTTTTTCATGGTGTTACTTCTCTGACATATGGTGTGGATGTTGAAAAGATTAGAGTGTCTGGCATCTTACAGGTTTTCAACATGTGTAAAATTAAAACCTGCATTTACACTGTATTGCCACCAATTGGTCATTTATTTATTCTTTTTTTTCCTCATATGAAGTTCCCAAGAGCTTAATATGCAATAATAGAACAATATTCCAAATAGTTCATATACATTTTATATTGTTTCCAATGTAGAGGATAGCAATTGGATATGTTGCAGCGGCATTGTGTGAAATATGGCTTCCAGGTCAAATGTGGAGAGGAGATCAGCTATCCAGAAATCATGCCCGGCAATGGTGAGTCAAACAGATTTATGTACTCCAGTAATAGTCAATGTACAAACCAATATTTCAAAGATGATGAGTTTCTACTTCTGTACTGCTCTGCATGATGAACTACATTATTTTCATGGAATTTTTGTTTCCTGAAAACTAACAAGATTTTCCGGTTTGTAGGTGTGTTGGATTATTGTTATCTGTCATATATTTGGGGTTCTTATACAGCCTGTATGTCCCGGATTGGCAATATGAGTTGCAGTCTGATTACCCTCTTGTAACTGCTAATAACAGCGACGTTTATATGGAGAGTGAGACAATATCACAATATGTGTTATTCATTTCCTTGCTTGATTGTTTTGGTCTGGGATATATGTTGGTCAGGTAAACATTTCATAAGTGTATGAATGCAATATATATCCAGCCATGGCCGACTCCCCGAAACTTCACCCCCATGGTGTCATGCTCCTTTAGATCCTCAAGGCATTTTGAGGTGAGCAAGCATAATATTTCTATTCTTTCAGGTGCTATTTTAACGTGAGGCTCCTCAAATTAGCTGCTCTCTCTCTTTTTTAACTGGTTCTATGATACAAATAAACCTGGTTATCTGAATGCTAAACCAAACTCAACTATAAGGTTTATTGATGATATGTTTCTTATTTTGATGTAGCTCCTGCTCATTTTTTCCTCATTTTCTCATATTTTCATGTATTAAGAGGTCTTCTCATCTTTATGACTTTATCCCACGATACTTTAGACTACAGTTCCTCTTCACATGACCTATTTAGCTCTATGCCTGTTCTTGTGAAAAGTGATTTCAATGACAGGTAACAAATATGGAAAGCTGAAGTGGAATATTCTCTCCATTATTAGCAGACAAATGAAAATCCAGAAAGCAACAACTCTTGCCCTCAATTATTGAGTTCTGATGCCCAAAATATACCAATACAAGACATTGATCAATAAAAAAAGAAGAACAAAAATAATGAATAGCTATGGACCTAGACTGATTAAATTATTAGTTGAATAGTTAATTTAAGAACATGTAAAATAATGGTTATTTATATGATAATTTCCATTATGAATATACATTAAAATATTGAGAATAAATAATTTACACATAATTCTTTATAATTGAAGTCTTAAGGTAAAATTGTATCTTCAATGAATAACTAAATGTAAATATTATACCTTATAAGCTTTATAATATTGTATTTTATATAAATTTTCCATTAGTTTATATATTAATTATGTTAATAGATTTGCATTTTTGTTGTACTATTTGGCATCTCACCAATTTCCACTTATATCTTACATTTTAATTCTATCTTTGCATTTCCTCAAAAATGTTAATACTTACTTCAATTTAATTGAGTGGTGCCTGGGGGAATTAGGTTCACTCACGGAGTCACGGGTCGCACGGCCGGAATGATATATGAACGGCTAGAAGTAAACGGATAAGACGACCGTTAGTCTTGTTGCATATTCAAAAACTCAACGTATAGCGAATTTTAGGGCTCCACCAACGGAACATTCTAGAGATGCATCCGAGCACTCCCAGCAACTTCTCTCACTCCATACTTTCGAGTTTTGAACAGTGAATATATTTTTCAATCTTTTCTTACATTCTATTTCTCAAAATTTAGTAATTACGTTTTATTTTATTTCATATTCGTGGTAATCTCAATAATACATTTTCGGATCTCGTTTTTATTTTGAAGTATTCTTTTGCCAAAGTAATTCATATTCAATCCTATTGGGACGGAACGTTTCATTCTACCGAATATTGCAATACAACCATTGAAATTTTCATCATTTGATCAGCACATACACGCACTAAATATGTATTGATCAAAATATAAAATTCCAGATAACTACAGTGAGCAGAAAAAATACACTAAATATTATGATTGGTCAAATAAAACACTCTTCTAGTATATTTCACATAAAATAAAATTGACATGAGCAGAAAAAACTGGAGCCACCCAAATTCACAGTGCCAGCTGTTTTCCACTCTATGCCTTTAAACAATAAGCCCCAACTGAGTGAAAGGCCTTGATGCCGATCCTCAAAATGAAAAAAACAAAAGAAAATGGAATTTTTTAATGCAAGATGATAAATCCAGTTTTAGCACACATTAATGATCTATGGGGCCAGATAATGTAGAGAGGTCGTGAAGGTTCTATAATAAATTTAGCACTATTTGCAGACACATAAGAGAGAATGTTTATAGTACTATACCATATTGTACTGATATTGCTTATCATTATAAATAATATTAGCTTACTGCTTAAAGTTGATACATCCATATCATGGAAGAATTAAACACATTAGTTCTATTATTCCTTTAAAAACAAATTTATATGTTTGAAGTACACATCTCGAGCCACTCAATTTCAGAGTTACTGGACTTACCAGTTAACCCCAACTTTAAATTGTCTATTATTTTTATTTCTTCTGTATGCTGGAAAAAATTTAATAATATTGCACTCCTTTAATGGATGTTGTTTGAAAATTGGATGAGTAGAGGCCCAATGATATAGAGACAACAAATTTGACTATGATCCTGCCCAACACTGGCAGAGTAATTTATTTGCTGCTATAGATAAGCTTCACAATTATTTTATTCAATATGATTTTGACGTGTCAGTTTATATGGACATGCCAAAACTATGTTGTTCAAAAGCTGTTGATTTTATCATATATTGACTTTGGCAGCGAATAGAGGCTAATCATTATCCATATCAATGACTCTTGAGTCTGAATGTGTTGAACTAAGATAAAAGTTAAAAAAAAAATTACATAAATTTCTTATTCTTAAGTTCGTAGGAGTTGAGCTCAACTTGACTTAATAATGAAACGAACTTCAGCTAGCGGCACAGAGCTAGAGTCTTGACGACTGAAGTCGATTTATAAGAATTTGTTTATCAATCATAACATTGAGTGAAGGTGAATTCTAATTTGTTTAAACGCTTCTATTTGGGGCCATTGAGTTGATTCCAATAAATTTGTTCTTCAAGCTTTTAAGAGTCAAGGCATGGATTAGCTTCATATGAAACTAAGTAAAAACCTCTAGTATACTTTTTAATTTAAATTCCATTTTTACTTTGAACGCAGTTCAAAATTTTAATTTTTAACTTGCTAGAAAGTTCTCCATTCTATCCAACGTAACTAAACATGCCACGACTGTAATAAGCAGAGTTACATTATCAATTTATATGTAAGTTACATATAAATTGATTTTCAACAAACTATTTCTTTCTAGATATTTTACTGTTTTGCTCTTGAAAGTTAATCAAACAGAACAAACGCAAAAATACAAACAGCAGATTTATTAACACATCAATTATCTGTTATCATCTATTTTAAAACATGAAAAACACTGTTATCTTGCAGATAAATATCATTTTTCACGGGAGTTCAACAGCTTTTTTTCACGCTTTTGCAAAACCTAGAGAAGGTTATAAACTCATCAATACCCATACCACGTGAACTCAAAGGTGAAAGGACCCGTTAAAAAATCTGAAAAGCATCCTAAGAAACACTTAGAAAGGATTAGTTAATGAATAAATTAATAACCCACATTCTTTTGGTCAAGAATTGGTCGGGTCAAATCAAATCAAATAAACAACACGGATAAACACACTAGGGTCATGGTTGGGTCAAATAAATATACCCACTTGACTTGGGTGTAATACGGCTAGGCTTGTAAGCTCGAGCTCGAACTCGAGCTCGAAAGCCATCAACGAGCCAAGTTGTACTCAGCTCGTTAAATAAATGAGCTTGAAATTAATCTCGAATTCGATTAATAACAAATTGAGTTCGAGCCTTAATGGACAGGGTAATATTGAGCTTGAACACTGCTCGTTAATCGTTGGAACTTATACTTACACATCCATTGATATATGTGACGACGAAAATCACACTAGTAAGGTAAAATTCACCCTATAAATACTAAAATTCTTGGTAAATCTTTAAATTATTTTAAAAATTCCAATAAATGCATAGGATACATTGTTTTAAATTTCTCAGCCTAATCTATATACTCTTATTTCCCTAGGCTAATGATATAGCACTAATAATAATCAAAGGATTATTGAGTTGTGATGTGATTTTGTTGTCCCTATTTCCGACCTACAAATTCAAAATACCATTCAAAGTAAATTTCAATTTAAATTCCTCGTAAAAAGTTGGCCAAGAGATATAAAGTAATAATATAATAATTAATAACAAAAAGAAAAAAAAAAAAGCGAAGCGCAAAAAGGAAAGAAAAATAATTTTGTCCCGTTGAAAGGAAAAGGACATGGAGCCGTTGGGTATGGCATTGAGTCATGGTGTTTTCATGTCTTGGCTGCAGTGGGACCCACCCACCCACGGTGCAGCGCACATACATACAGATGATTACTACTCACATGGTCTCGCTGTCCACCTGGGCCCCACCACAGTCCACCCCGAATACCAATGTTTATTAGCTGGCACGATTCCTTCGAATTTTTATTCAAAATAAAGGGATACTAAGAATATGTATTTTTAATTTATATTATTATTATTAGCACGAAGAGTAGTAGATTAACATGACACGTAGACGTAGATTGTATTCGTATCCACATGATTGTACTATAGACTTGTGCTTATGTGAAACAAATCACACATAAATTAGACCAGCTCGATATTTTTTTAAAAAGGTTTTTTTAATTTTTATATAATTTTGTTCGATAAATTTAAATTTAACTCAATTCAACTCGATTATATAAAAGATCTTAGTATATAAAGTTTGAATTTGCACCATGCACTTTTTTCGGCATTATATAATATTTAAGGATAAAAGTATTGTACTATAGGTGTTGAGTTAATACATACATAGATCGAATTAAACGAAATAAAAAGCTCGAAACCTCTACTAGTTTATACCATTTTTGGAACAATCTCTATTGTTTTATTTGGGACAATATACCTAAATTTACATAAATAAATATTAAATTTGATTTGATTCCCTGCGGTTGAGTTGAGTTGGCAGTAGCGCATAGGATAAGAAACATTTTGTTAAATAATCTTTATTGTTCAGAAACACCCTTACCTTATCCAATAATTTCCAACAGCACCTCTTTCCATCATCTCACCCTTAAAAAGCTTCATTCCTCCCACAGGTCACAGACGAATAACAGT